GCCTGGAATAAACTTCCTGAAGATATTCGTTCACTCTCTACAACAGCGAAATTTAGTATTGCTGTTCGTCGGTATCATTCGCAATCTATGTTTTCTTTGAAAGGTATTCCTGACTTTTGTGTCTAGGCTAACCACATCTATGATAGTTTCAATATTTTGTGTATATGTCAGTTATAGTAGTCCACAATGCTGCTTTTCTAATTCTCACTATGATTAGCATGCAATGTACTACCCGAAGTAGTGAATTTACTTCTTTTGTACTAATGTATCTTCTACCTCTTCTCCCTTACGAACATACTTTCTCATTTTCCATACTTACTTAGGAGACTCCCTTCGATAGGCATCTATTTGCCTCTGGAGGATCCGTGAAATAAAAATCAATCAATCAATCAATTATTCCAATTTATGCGATTCGTATGCAATTTGCCTCGAATTATGCGCTTATTCGATTTTGGTAGGAATTATGCGAAAAATTATGCTAGCATAATCCGTCAAGGCCTACTTGTTGCCCCCCAAAAAAGCGGCGTGCCAAGGCCCATAGAGCACTCGGAAATTGTGATCGCATGCATGAGCAAACAGATTGTAGCACTTTTTCAGCTAGAAAAGCTCAAAAAGGGAGATATTCACCAAAAACGTAATGAAGGGCGAAAGAAACAGGCTTTTCCAAAAAGGGCGAAAAAAGGCGAAACAAAGGGCGAGCACCTTTGGGAAAGCGCTACCAGTCGATACTTGGCCGAAAACTAGTGGGGCAAGAAAATCACCGCAGATCTGTCAGAAACCTGTACCGTCCACACCAGGCAATTTTCGCCCCAATCTTAAGGATTTTTCGTACGAGTCCATGTCGGCCGGAAAATCGGCCTAGTGTGAACCAGGCATAAGCAGTCAAATATTCCTGAATATTTCACTCGCTATATTGACTGCTTTATAATTACATGTATTTTGACTGCTTATAACTATGAGTTGCGCAGTTGCGCAGTTGAACGGTGCCTAGTGCAGCATGGTACATGGTCGCTGTATGAGTAGCGAAGGGCTACATGTATGATGTAAAGGGACCGTCACTTTTAATTTTTTGCCGACTACCCGCCAAAAAAATCTTTTTGTTTCACGTCCGCGTCCGCGCGTACCGCGCTACCTTTCACGTCGAGCAATCTGTTCACGGCTTCACGCCACATGGCTGGCTGAAGCGCGTACATGCAAACATGCATGATTGAAGACTTGCAAAATTAATTTTTACAAGTCCAAGCGCTATCGCTAGGCGAGCTGCTACTGTTTACACTTTACAGGCCTCTTTTAGGGGCAAATAATTGAAAACATACGTGTACATGTAGCCTGTAGGGCATGGTTACCAATGGTTACCTATTAGCAAACACATTCATGCTAACCTGCTGCATCACATGATACTCCGTTAGACTTACCGGTATGCAGACTTGATAATTTCATCACCTTTTATGGAAATAGTCTGCTTAACATTCCCGCGCGAGTTCTGAAGATGTGTGCCGACCCCCTAAGTAAGCCACTCTCCAAACTGTTCTCCCTTAGCTTCTACAGCATGGTTATGCCGACATCCTGGAAGACAGCTAGAGTCACACCCATTCACAAGAAGAAATCCAAGAACCTGCCTCAACACTACAGACCTGTGTCTCTGCTGTCTATCATATCCAAAGTGATGGAAACAATTGTCAATCGTCAGATAACCAGTTTCGTGGAGTCCCACAATGTCATCTCTGCGAAACAGTTCGGGTTCAGAAAGGGTCTGAGCACAGCCGACGTCTTAACCAAGCTCCACTGTGAATGGTCCCGAGCAGCCGGCCTAGGAGGAGCCGCCCATGTTTTGGCGATAGACATAGCAGGCGCCTTTGATAAAGTCAGCCATGCTGGCCTGCTGCATAAGGCTTCCGTGTACGGTCTAGACGGCCCGCTTCTCGGATGGCTGAAAAGCTACCTGCACAACCGGCGCCTGCAGGCTGTTGTGGGCGGCCAAGAGTCCTCCCTGCACCATATCCAAGCAGGGGTACCACAAGGTAGCATCCTTGGACCAACGTTATTCCTCCTGTACGTAAATGACTGCGAGGACACCTTGCCTGCTGGTGCTGAGCTTGCCACGTATGCAGATGACACGACACTGTATCATTGAATCTCTGCCACCGCCAGCATATCCGACTCTGCAGCACAAATCCAGGAAGCAGTGGACGCCGTCTCCCACTGGGGTTCCAAGTGGAAGGTCACCTTCGAGCCATCCAAATCTCAGGCCCTCATCATCGACCACCGCAAGCCTCCCCCAGCGTTCCCACCAGTGCTCTTCAATGGAGTGACTGTTCCTGAAGAGAAGGAAATTAAACTTCTGGGCATAGCATTCGACTCGCAACTGTCCTACGCAGCACACCTCCGGGCCGTGGCCTCAAAGGCTGCCCAACGCCTACACTTCCTGAGAAAGGTTGCGCCCCTGTTGGATTCCAGCGGCCGCACGGCAGTCTACAAAGGCTTCGTGCGGTCAACAATGGAATACTGCTGCCTGGTGTGGATGGGTCAGGTACATCCAGACTGGACAAAATCCAGCACAAGGCACTGAAGGTGATTGGCCCAGGCGCCTGGCTCCCCAGCCTGAAACACCGCCGACTGGTTGCTGCGCTTTCGTTCACGTTCAAGCTGTCTTACCTTCCAACAACAAGCCCCCTGAAGCCCATCCTCCCACCTCCAGCCAATCCCCGCCCTGTGGGTGGTCGATCCACTAGGTTAGCCACGGAGACTGCCCACTGCCACCCGCTCCAGCTCAAGTCGACGCTGCCTGTGCGCATTCGTAGCAGCCTCCAGGGTTCCTACCCAGACTGCATTATTCCCTTGTGGAACGGCCTACCAGCGACCATTCTACCAGCACGGCCGCAACCCAGCCAGCTCCAATCATTCAAGGAAAAATGCAACAAGTATCTGCTGCACCTGAACTGGCAAGCAGCCACCGACGCCCTATGAAACGGTTTAGACCAGTGCCTCACTAGCATCCTCCCCCCCCCCCCCTTTACCACAATGTGACGTTATCTTTCACTCTGCTTCTCTCACGACCATCTACCCATTGTCCTTGTTTCTCACTATTATTCATTTCCCCTCTTCCTCCCCTCTTCATGGTTTTACTGCATTATGGCGCGCTTTGTCTGCGTAGACGCGGAGACCTTTGGGGTCGGCAGAGCAGCCTGGCCCCGCCACCACTTCTCGCACATATTCGGGAATATAGTGGACTTTCGTATAAAAATAAAAAAATAAAATAAACACGCTGGAGCTCGCGCTATTCCGCCGACTCGACTCGGTACTTGACTGACTCATGACTGCCATCCAGAGCACACGAGAAGTACATCGAACCTTTCAATCGGACACCCAGCTAGTTACCTACTCCCTGCTGAGTACACAGTTATAGCGGGACGGTGTTTCGGGAAAAGCGCGAGTTCCAGTGTGCGGAGTAGATAACTTCTCTATAACAGTATCGCCGAGGTCAGGTCGCTAGCACTGCTTCGTATTCGCATCACCTCCTTACTGGACCTTAGCGTTTTGAACGGCTTTAGCACTAAACCTCACGACATTCACTATCTCCGCGTCTAAAGTCTAGAACGCACAGCTGGCTTGGAATTATTTCAAAAATGGAGATAACGCGAGTGTACTTGAAAATGTCTGTAGTGAATTGATAGCCACACAAGGTAGTCTTTAGATCCCTGCTCTGTTCACCTGTAGCGCTAGCCACACACGCAAATACAGTCATTGTTAATGCTTTCTCCCAGACTGTCAGGACAATGGGCTTCCTGTATTGTGTGTGGGTGGGGGTGGTAGTGGCTTGATGGTTTGTTATAGTGCTTCTCCGTTTCTAGTAGCGATTCGTTTCTGGATGTTGAGCAAATAGTTGAGACAGAGGGACCATGCCTTGGCGGATATTGCTCTGACAATTGGCAGAACAATAGCTTAGCTTGTTAATTGCACTAATAGTGGTCTACTGTAATCGCCACATTAGATTGTCCAAATTGTAGTTTGTGTATGCTCTTGTGTTTCTTGCAGGCAGAGACCAGCTGCTCGCGAAGTGCTCCGATTTATTCAAGCATCCCCCTGTGCTTGCCTGACATAATTGACGCCTCTTAGTCTTAGCGCACCCTGGCTCTTACTGGTCTTAGCGCACCCTGGCTCTTACTAGTCTTAGCGCACCCTGGCTCTTACTAGTCTTAGCGCACCCTGGCTCTTACTAGTCTTAGCGCACCCTGGCTCTTACTAGTCTTAGCGCACCCTGGCTCTTACTAGTCTTAGCGCACCCTGGCTCTTTACAAACGTTGTCATGATACTCGGTTTGAGTCAGGACGGGGAGTGGTCGAAAAGAAAAAAGCCTAAAAGGCCTCTTTTACGGGTAAGGCGAAGCACAAACATGAACATTTATTGCGTTGTTTCCGGATTCCTGAAAAAAAGAAGAAAAAAAGAAAGAAAAAAAACATGGAGAGGGGTCACCTGGTTTTCTCATAACCAAGACTGAGAAAATCATTTTTATCTTTCTTTTGGCTGGTACAGACGACATGTCCACAGCTACAGACTAGTCCTAGGTTCCTGTCAGTGTTAGCAGATGTCGGCTGTCTACCTCCAGTCCAGGGTCTACGTGGCAGACCACTACACGGAGAACGAGTGCTCCTCCGAGTCCGAGTAGCATTTAGGCCATGGGCCGGGGGTCTAGTATGGGCCGGGGGTCTAGGTCTAGCACTACATGTAGGGTTAGGGCTGTGACGTTCTGTGAGTGAGAATGACAGGGTTACTCCCGGTTAGGGCCGGTGTAGATCCACCGAGTCCGTCTAGTGCCTAGTGTAGATCTACATCTGATGCAGTACCGGTAGTGCCAGTGGTGGTGTCTGCCTGTGAGTCTGTCTCTACAGGACAGAAGTGCGGTTTAGCGCAACGCCGGGATACCGTACAGGTGCGGCGCTTGCCAGTGCTAAGTGCTATATACTAGTGCAAGTCAGTGTGGTTGCCAGATCTGCGGACAAGACATCGCCAAAGGTCTGACACGCAACAAAGCAAATTTCTTGAAAACACGATTTTGAAAACATTCACCCTTCTTACTTTGTGTCAGAGCTGGAGCGAGTGTCGGTCAATCTACGCCTGCGTGGAGTATCATTATTGTTTGTGGCTAACGAGGACGAGGCAAGACGGACACCGGCAGAGAACAGATCGCTTCATTGAGCGGTGCAGTGCGTAGCACACCGTCGTTTAGCGTGTCAAGTACGAACTAAGGATTATCATGGCAGATTCATCGCCATCAAGCGATCTTCGATCAGGTAAGAGTTGTGTGAAAGCCTGAAAGCAGCCCAGCGGAACTGTGGTATGTATAATCATCCGGCATATAACAGTTTGTAGGCTGTATTCATAGTGTGGAAGATCGATGATATCATGTACTAATGTATCAGTGAATGTCTTCTTGCCCTTTGCTTTGCCCGAAATCTGCGGCATATTCCGAAATGCTGCGACACAATCACATTAGCCACACTATTCCACGCATACACATATCATTCATTGAATCACTATAGTCTATACTGTATATCGCTACAGGTTATGGTTGTGTACGTGTACTTTTGTAGACTATGGAACACAATGTAACACGGCTTGTGTAGGTAGATTCGTTGTGATTTGTGACCAAGTCCTCTCATTCATGGCCGGCAAAAGGGCTTCATGAGGGGTCTC